TGGCATCTTGGTGTAGCCCAGACTGGCCTTGAACTCATGGTGATCTTCCTGCCTCAGCCTCTCAAGTGCTGGGATTGCAGGTGTGTGCTACCACACCTGGCCCTGAGGGAATTTTATATATCTTTTGTGCACCTGTGTTTACCTCAACCCCTTACACAAGGTTAGAATGTACTACTTGGTGCACTACATCCAAGATTTTTTTTTTTTTTTTTAACTACCAGGGATCGAACTCAGGCCCTTGAGCTTTCAAGGCAGGCAGCAGAACCACTAAGCCAAACCCCTGGCCCTACATCCAATATTTTATTTATTTATTTTTGGGTTTTTGGTTTTTTTTGAGACAGGGTCCCACTATGTAGTTGAGTCTGACCTGGAACTCACTGTGTAGCCCAGGCTGGCCTCAAACTCACAGTGATCCTCCTGGCTCAGCCTCCCGAGTGTTGGGATTACAGGCCTGCACCACCATGCCCGGCTTTACATCCAAGATTTTGAGTTCTCCCCAACCCCCTGGCTAGATCAAACCCAGTGCATCACGTGCTAGATAGGCACACCACCCTCTTTACCCAGCTCAGGTTTGGATTTTGAACGTAAACTTAGGATGCCAGGCCTATGGAAATCATGTGAGCACTGGCCTAGAAGCTCAGCTCAACTGTACAGCATAAGCCCAGCACACAGGAGCCCCTGGGCTCCATCCCCAGCACCAGAAACAAAGCAGCACTTCACATGGGTGCCCCGCAGTGGACAAGTGGAGCTCAGTGGCGGTTTCCTTCACCCGCCCGCACACAGGCACAGGCCCCACCCTCCGCTCCACCTTCCTCTAGGACAGAAGCCAACCTGCCCTCCAGGTGTCTCTGCTCCCCATCCCAGTCTCCGCAGCCAGCGCCTGCTGTTTCCCGAAGCAGGTGACCCCCGTTATCACTTGTTCTGTCTGTGCCAGCAGAGGGATGCGGCCCTTTGGGTTTCAGGTTGCATTTCTCTGGTGGCAAGCGAGGCTCAGTAGTTTTCTTTGTCTCCCACACGTTTCTGTTTTTCTTTTCTGTGAACTACCTGCCTGGTCTCCTTCTGTCCTCACGGTGTTGCCAGGAACTGTTCGACAGTTACAAAACGGGGAGCATGGGGTGAAGCAGCCAGCCGGTCCTCCAAGTATCCAGGGGCTGCCCCACCCCAGGGTCTGACCTGGAGAGGAGGTGGCTTGAGCTGGGGAGGCTCCCTGGACTCAGTTTCCCCACAGTGACAGCTGCCCTTCCTGGGTTCTGGGACAGGTACAGCCTGGATTCCTTCTTGTGAGTTCCCCAGAGTCGTTACATCCACGGAGACAGGAAGTGGGATGGTGGGTGCCAGGGCTGGGCAACTGCTGTTGAGGACAGAGTTACCACAGGAGGGAGTCCTGGAGAGGGAAAGTGCGGACAGCCGCTGGCATGGTTTATGTACAGATCTGTGCACTTCAAGATAGTTAGAATGGTGAATTTTATGGAAAGTGTGTTTTACCAAAATTTAAGAAGCCTTGGGGCCGGGGATTCAGCTCAGTGGTTCTGCTGCCTGCCTTGAAAGCACAAGGTCCTGAGTTTGATCTCTGGTACCAACAACAATAAAGACACGGAAGTCTTGGTCAGCGTGCAGCACCCAGCTGTGACTGCTCCACTGCTTGTCACGGAGCCAGCTCTGCACCCCGAGCCTGTACCTGGCTGAGGGGGGCCTCTGCCTGGACAGTGGCACCTTCAGGGATGCATTTGGACCAGTTGGGCAGCACATCCTCTGCCCCTCTGCCATCCTTGGGGTTCCGGGGACCTGGGCTGCTGTCTCCCTGTGGGCTGAACCTCCTGGCCCAGGTGTGTGCAGGGCTCCAGGGCCCAGCAGGGTGACAGCCGTCACCTGGGCCAGCATCTCTGGAGCCCAGGCAAGCATGGGAGACTCGAGGGCCCTGGGGCCTGGCCTTCTTTCTCTCTGGGTGTTATGTCCCCTGTTGCTCCCCCAAGTAGGAACCAGACCACTATCTGTGCCCAGCTGGGGTGGCAGGAGCAGGGCAGCTACGTTGGGGGAGGTGAGCGGCCCCGGGCCCACTTCTGGCCTTCCCACACAGCATCGTCAGCTGGTTCGTTCGGTCCTTCAAGTATGTGTTTGGCCTGCGCTTCGAGGTCAAGGGCCGGCAGAAGCTGGAGGTGGACGGGCCCTGTGTCATCATCTCCAACCACCAGAGCATCCTGGACATGATGGGTACACTCAGCAAGCGGGGACCGCGTGCCCTTGGCCATCTCCCGGGCAGGGGAATGGGTGCGCTGGCTCTTGTGGGGCGGAAGCTGCATCTTCACCTGGGGGAGGGCGAAGCCAGAGGGTTCCTGGGCAGCAGGGTGAACGGGGTCTGCTTCCATGGAGGGCCCTCCGCGGCTCTGATGTGGTCCTGTTCCTCCTCTCTCTGCCTGTCTCTGTCTCTCCCCCACCTCTGTCCCCTTCCACTGTTCCCACCCCTGCCCGCCAGGCCTCATGGAGATCGTCCCTGCGCGCTGTGTGCAGGTCGCCAAGCGGGAGCTGCTGTTCCTGGGCCCCGTGGGCCTCATCATGTACTTGGCCGGCGTCTACTTCATCAACCGCCAGCGCTCCAGCACCGCGGTGTCTGTGATGACTGCCCTGGGCGAGCACATGATCAGGGAGAACGTGAGTGCATGTGGCCTTGGCGGGAGTGCAGATGGCATGGGGCCCAGCCTTAACCCTGACCTCCCTCCACAGCTCAAAGTGTGGATCTACCCTGAGGGCACACGCAACGACAATAGGGACCTGCTGCCCTTTAAGAAGGGCGCCTTCTACCTGGCCATCCAGGCCCAGGTAGGGAGGGCATCCCAGGGTGGGCACGGGTGGGAAGTGGCGGAGCCTGAAGGTGATGTCCAGCCAGGCTGGCGGTTAGGCATCTGCCCCTGCTGGGTGGGGACAGGGCCTCCCAGTCCCTTGAGGCCCTGGGACTCTGGCCTACTGGAGACAGCACTGTGCCCTTTGCAAAGGACCAAGGCATGTTTGGGTGAGGCCCAGGAGGGTGCCTGAGCTGACTCCAGTGCTCCCTGTTGGCTAGACAGGGTGACAATGGTACAGGGGAGGTACCCAGCTGCCTGCTGAGCCCTGGGGGGCTGCCTGGTCCAGGGAGTGCCCATCTTGTGCCAGGCCTGGTGGGCTGGGCTGTGGGCAGGTAGGGCCAGCACGGGGACCTTCACTGTGGTACAGGTGTGGGCAGTGTGCTGTGCCGCCTCTGACCCAGGACTTCCCAGGACCACAGCCTGGGGTTGGGGTGGGCAGTGTGCCCTGGGTACTGGGGAGAATGGCGGTGGATCCACCATGGTGAGGTCTTACTTTGAGGCTGGGTCAGGGAAGGGCTTCGTCCCGCCTGCCGGTTGCAGCTCAGCAGGCTCAGTTCTCCCATGGAACCATTTCCCCCCAGTGCCAGCCTTGGGGACAGAGCCCAGCCCTGCCGGCACCTCTCCCCTGCCCAGGTCTCATAGGGTGCAGACACTGTGGCAGTGGGTGGGCTGCACCACAGGTCCCAAAGGGAAGACGCCAGGGTTTGATGAGGACAGCGGCAGCCAGGATGTCGCCACTTCCTGCCACCCACACCCGGCTCTAGTCCCTCTGCTGGTGCCAGCAGTTAATGTTTACCCTGGTGCCACTTGTCACCGCAGGACTTGGCCCTCATGCCTTCCAGGAACACCAAAGCCACACCCTCCCTGGCCCCCTGGGGATGGTGGCTGGCAGGGAGGTGGCCCATCCTCCAGGTGAGCACAGCAGGCTTGGACCCTGCTAGGGTCAGTGTTGGACACATACCAGCCCAGGATGGCTTCCCAGAGAGGTGACACAGAACATAGGCCCTCCAGGCTGAGGGGTGGCCCCAAGGCCAGCTGGCACGTCCTAGGCAGTGACGAGGTAGCCCACGCCCTCACCCCGGATGCACGTGTCCCTGCCTGCAGGTGCCCATCATCCCCGTGGTGTACTCCTCCTTTTCCTCCTTCTACGACCTCCGGACAAAGCTCTTCACCTCAGGTGAGCTGGCGGGGACCAGGAGGGTGACTCTGGGCCCACTGGAAGCACCATGTCTGGGTGGGCACTGAACCACTGAGTGAGGCCCAGCGCTGCTGTGTTCTGCTGCTCTGCTGGCTCTTGGGGGTGGCGGCAGTGGCCTTTCCCAGGTGAGGACACTGAGGCTATTGAGGGCAACAGGTGACCCAAGCCTGACCCCCTCGTGGACTCCCAGGACCCCAGCACCACTGTCCACGAGCATGTGGCCTGTGCCCTGCCCAGCCAGGGTGCCGCAGCCCCACACAAGGTCTCCTGTGCCCAGGTAGGAAGCAGGAGGTCAAAGGTCAAAGAGGCAGTGGGAGGAGCCAGGCTCTGATCCCACCAAGGACACAGGGAGGAGAGTCTACCAGGTCGTCGTCACCTGACAGCGAAGGCCAGTTGGGACGGGGTGGCTGGGTGGAGTGGCTAGGGCAGCAGCTTGGGGCCTCCCAGCCTACTGACAACCCTGCCCCTCCCCTAGGAACAATACAGGTACAGGTTCTGGACGCCTTTCCCACGCGTGGCCTCACCGTGGCCGACGTCCCCAAGCTCATCGACACCTGCCACCAGGCCATGAGGGCTACATTTCTGCAGATATCCACATGGCCCCAGGAGAATGGCCCCACGGTCCAGCCAGCCCAGTAGCCCAGCCACAGTGGGGTGGGGGCGGCAAGTGGACAGAGGGGACCCAGGCTGCTGAACACCACTGTGCCAGCTCCTGGCTCTCTCTAGCCTCGGCAGCTGGAAGCCCCAGCTCAAGGCCCCAACGTCCCCTCCAGAGTCTTCCCGACCCTGCCCAGCAGGGACCCCTACCCTCAAGCCCATGCCTCCAGGATCCAGAGGGGGCTGAGTCACCAAGCCCTGGGGCAGCCCAGGAGTGGCTGCAGTGGCTGCCTTGGGCTCTGGGCCACAGCCTGTATCAGGCTTTCAGGGAGACGGGGCTCAGGCCGGGCCTCCCGGGCCACACTACCAGCCTCGAGGACTATCTGCAGTACCCAAGCTGCACACGGCTCATTTTTATAAACAAACTATGGGAAGGAAGTACCTGCTGTGCTGTGGTCTCTCAGGGTGGGCAGGGGCTGCCCAGGCCTCCACTGAGGGACACAGGGTGAGGGGTGATGAAGCCCCCAGCTCGGCCCGCTGTGCGGAGGCCTAGTCCATCCACTGACGCCAAGGCTTGAGTCTCCAGTTTATTCTGATGGGGACGGGCCCGCCCCCACTGCGCCCCATATCCCAGCTTGGGCAGGGAGCCCTCGTACCTTCCCCCGGGTGCCAGAGAGCCTAAAAGGGGCCCACCCAGAGCCCCCTGAGGGACAGAACAGGATCAAGGCACTCCTGGCTTTCTGCTCACAGCCCACACCAGGAGTGGCACGGGTCCTGGCCAGAGGGCGGGAGGGCTGTGGCTGTGGGCTTGGTCCAACCGTGGGCTCGAGACAGGACCATCATAGCTGCTTGCAGGAGCCTGGGGGTGGAGGAGGAGACTGGGTCACCTGGCCTGTGGCTGCTCCTGGCCTTGCCCTCTGGCCTGGAGGAGCCAGGGCTCTGAGGAAGGGGAGAGGAGGGGAGGGTGCTCACAGGACCCCAGCTGCTCCTCCAGGAAGGAGATCTGCTCGCTCAGTGAGTCGATGCGGTCTAGCTGCTGCAAGGAGTGGGCCAGAAGGCTGCCGGGATCCTGTGGCCCATGCTCTGGGGCCCGCAAGGCCAGGCCATGTAGCGGGGCCAGCACCAGCTGCAGCTTCTGTGGGATGGGGAGGCTGAGGTGACCCGACAACCAGCTGGCTGCAGCATCTGCTCCGCCACCAGAGGGCACTGTGCCCCACAAGAGCCTCAGCCAGGTAGGAAGGGACATCAGGCTGCAGTGCCCAGGCCTGGGGTTCCAGGACGGTAGCTCCATGGGAAGACATTGTGCCGGGTGAGGTGGCCTGACCTGCGCCCCACTCCACGCGTGCCCTGGAGAGCCTTAACGAGCCCCCTGCTGGCTGCAGCATCTGCTCCGCCACCAGAGGGCACTGTGCCCCACAAGAGCCTCAGCCAGGTAGGAAGGGACATCAGGCTGCAGTGCCCAGGCCTGGGGTTCCAGGACGGTAGCTCCATGGGAAGACATTGTGCCGGGTGAGGTGGCCTGACCTGCGCCCCACTCCACGCGTGCCCTGGAGAGCCTTAACGAGCCCCCTGCCTGGCCAGGGGTCCGCAGCCTCTGCTGGCCTCACCTGCTCCAGCACCTCCACTCGGGCCTGCAGCCTCTGCACCTCCGCCCGTGCCGCGGGGTCCGCTCCTGGGGCAGAGCCGGCATGGGGTCAGGGAGCCCTCCACCCACCTCTTGGCCCACAATGGCCCGCAAGTCTGTGGCCCGACACCCGCCTGCCCCTCAGCGCTGGTCCTGGTGCTGCTGCCACCGGGGTCCTCACCGAGGCCTGACGCATCTTGGTGCTGAGCTGCCGACGGCGCATTATTACTCACGGTACGAGTTTGAAGTGTCACAGCGCGTACCAAAAGTAATAATGTCTCGTCACCAGCAGAGGGATGGCATCTCCAGGATGCTAGGCAGGCAGGAGGCAGCCCCAAGGGGGCAGCCCCTTCTGTGTGGCTGAGAGAGGCCCTGTTCACCACCTTTGTGCCCCCGATAACAGCTCAGGGGAATGCCCAGGGCAGCAGCATGCAGAGGTGCTCGTACCTGTCACAGGGTTCAGGGCCACCCTAGGGGGCCCTGCTGTGGGCAGGCAGCGTGTCCCGTCCGCAGACACACGGTGCCCCTCCTGGCACTGGCACTGGTAACTGCCCGCGGTGTTCACGCAGCCCTGGGGACAGCCAGCCCTGCTGGAGCTGCACTCATCCACGTCTGCAGGAAGGGAGTGTCAGGTGCAGACCCACCCTGGTCCGTGGTGCACTGCGACATCCAGGAGGGGACCCGGGGCCCAGGAGAGCAGGCCCAGCCTCACCTGTGTGGCAGGTGTCGCCCTGCCATCCTGCGGGGCAGTGGCAGTGGCCGGGCCGGACACAGCTCCCTCCGTTCCCGCACGGCGGCTGGCATATTGCTGTGGGGGAGGAGGCTGTCACCACTCACTGGCAGCGAGGGGCTCCCCAGTGCCTGGGCATGGGATGTGCCAGGGCCCCTCACCTGCTGCACAGGCCCCAGGGAGCCCACTGGTCCTCTTCCAGCCAGGGCAGCAGGCATAGCGAGGCCTGGCGGGGCCCAGCCCAGGGCCACGGCGGCGGTAGACAGTCCGGTAGATGGTCCTGCAGGGTCAGGACAGCTCAGGCTTGGCACACAGGGTGGCTGGGGGTCAGACTGGGGGCCGTGTGTCCAGCCTGCCCAGCTTCAGTGTACCTGGACAAGTCTTGGGTGTCCCCAGAATCCCTCCCACCAGGGACACAGTAGGGGTCACTACACAGCCTTTTTCACTGGGGCACCTGGGGGCAGGGAGGAAGCCTGGCCATGCCTGGCAGAGTGCAGACAGCACCGTGCCATGTGCCACTGGACCCCTCTAGCTCCCGGGATGGGACAGTGGGGGCCAGGCTGGCACTGTCCTTCAGTGGGTCCCTAGCAGAGCTGGCCCTGCCCTTCTTACCCTCCCTGAGCTCTGGGTGCCTGGGGCTGAAGCTGCTCCTAAGCCAGTGCCTCTCTAACTTTGGGGGTTCTAAGGCTCTCAAACCTGGAGTCCAGGCCTCACCCTTGAGGGCAGAGCCATGAATCTGAACTTCACAGGCTTGGCCTGGAACTCAGGATCCTCCTGCCTCAGCCTCCTGAGTGCTGGGATCACAGGCATGCACCACAATGCCCAGTCTGAATCTGAACTTTCTTTCTGGCGCCAAGAATCGAACTCAGAGGGCCTTGAACTTGCCAGGCAGGCTCTGTGTAGCTGCGCTACATTCCTGGCCCTTGAATCTGAACTTTTATTTACTTATTTATTTGCAGTGCTGAGGACTGAACCCAGGCCCTCACATAGGCTTGGCAAGTGTTCTACTGCTGGGTCACATCTCAGACTTAACATTTTAAAATTTAGAGACAGGGTCTCTCTAAACTAGTCAGGGCAGCCTTGAACTCACAATCCCCCTGCCTTAGCCTCCCCAGTAGTTGGGGTTACTGCCTTGAACCACTGAGCATGGAGAACCTGGGCTTTCACTCCTGGAGTAAAAGCGCCTCCTGGAGCTTTCCAGATCCTTCTGGGCAGAGAGGAGGCTGAACTCCCCGTGCTCAGGATAAGGTCCCAGGGGTTATGGGGAGAAGTGATTGAGGTGGGTTTCAGGGGGAGACCCTGGGAGCCTACAATGATGCCCGGGGAGGGGTGTGTGAACACCCCGGAAGTGGAGGGGCCCAGGCAGGGTGGGCAGCCCTCTGCACATAGGAGTACCTCTGCAGGTCCCATCCTCCCACAGTTAACACAGGGGCAGTGGCCTGATTGACTGGCCACCCCAGAGCCCCAGGGTCAGGGCCCAGGAGGCAGCCCCTGTGCAGTGGGTTGGGGAGCCCTGGGCTGGGACTGGAGCACTCACCGGTAGGTGCTGCAGGCCCGGTACCCATCACAGGTGGTGAGGAAGGGCTGGTACACACGCTGCACGAAAGACTGGGAGATGGAGCCCTGGGCAGTCCCAACTGCACATACCCTGCGGCTGGGGTCGGGGTGGGGTCAGCAGGAGCCGAGAGCAGCCCCTCCCAGCCTGGGACGTGGGGCAGGCCCAGGAGCAGCCTATGGGGTGCCCTTCCATGACCGGAGCTGCCTTGGCTCACCTGGGCCGGTAGGTGTGCACACTGCCACCTGCTGCCAACACCAGAAACCACAGCAACAGAAGCTCCTGGGAACCCCACATGGCCTGTTTCTCCAGAAGGGGTGGCCTGGAGCAGAGCATGCACCTGTCAGTCCCACGTGGGGCCCCTCTGGCCAGAACCCCGGCTTCAAACTGCCTGCTCACTGTCCACAGGGGAGCAGCTGGGATCTGTCTGCAGCACCCTAAGGGCGACTGGGGCTGGACTCAGGGCCTTTGGGGCCACAAGAGGGCAGGGCCGTCTCACCCACACCTCAGGCTGTGGACTCTTTGTGGCAGCCTGGACCCTTCTGGGTTTGGATGCCTCATCTGCCAAATGTCGTGCTACTGCCCAAGGGTACTGTGGACACTGTGGGCCAAGCAGGAGTCTCACAGGGTGCACGCCTTCTGGGACCACTGTGGGGTCCCCCAGATGGAGTATGTGTGTGGACAGCCTGGGGAGCTCCTGGGACCCCCAGCTGGATGCAAGAGAGCAGCCCCAACATGCCCCATCTCCAGCCCATGACACTGCTGAGGGACTGTGAGCAGCGGGAACCAGCAGTGGGGACTCCCCCGGACAGGTGGGAGGCCACCCCTTCTTGAGACTCAGTTTGCTCAGCTACTGCTAGGGTCTCCAAGACTCCTTGCAGCTCTGGCATTTGAGCCCATAGGCGCCCATGCCCTGGGTGCCTACTGAGCCCAGGATGCTGGCCAGCCCCACGGGAAAGCTGTGTTCCCCTCAGCCCCTAAGCTGGGCCAGGCCTCTCACAGTCGCCAGTAGCGAGGCAGCGTGGGGGGGCCCCTTCGTCCTCTGGTGACAGGGCTCTGGAGCCCAGGCGTCTGGGGTGGGCGCAGGCTTCGGGGCAGAAGTGCATACTGCCGGAACTTGGGGCCAGGAGGGAGGAGGTGGGCCAGTGGGTCCCCGGGGAGAAGGGGTGCAGCCTGGAGAGCTCTGTGTCCCCAGATGTCACACCCACCACCCTCGTCCCCAGGCACCTCCGGAAGGTGCTGGGTGCAGTCTAGAAAGGGAATTGTGTTGAGGAGATTCGATTTTTGGAAGTCATGCTTTCCCAAGGCCAGAGGAAGGCCCGCGGCTATGGGCGCAGAACCTCACTTGGCGCTGGTGTTGGCCAGCAGGATGATGAGCGACCGCGTCCCCTCCAGTGGCACCGGCCCTGCCTGCCACCTCCCCTCCCACCTGCCAGACCCGCAGCCCGCCGGGGAGCTGGGTGCAGAGGGA